GGGGCAGTGGGGCAGGCTGGCGTCAAGCAGTACTGGACTTCTTGTCCAGAATATATTATCCCTGGGAGAGCGAGAGCGAGAGCGAAGCCTTGCACAAGCGTAGGCTATCCAGCACTATCTGGGATTTTCAGGCATCTGGTGCCAATGCAGAAAGGTGGTCTGTGCTGGACGGCACTTGCTGTTCACTGAGTTTAGGCCAGCTCTTTCACAGATTGCTTTGCCGAAAGCACTGACTTTGTGTTACAACCCTATTTCCCTCTAATTTCCTTCCCAGTACTGAAGCCTGTTATCCCTTTGATCCAATGGAGCTCTGTGGGCTTGTGCTTTAAACTGGGTTGCTCAATTTTTTTTTTTTTTTTTTTAATCTCCTTTTTCTCCTCATGCTCTTAACTTCCCAAAAGAGAGAGGTGTGTTTTTAACCTGGATAGGTTCAGTGATTTAGCTTACAGAGAACCAAGGAAGAGAGGTGGAGGCACTGAGCAGGCAAATGTGCAGTGTCCTAAAATTGATATAGCTGTCAAAGCCTACATTGTTAAGTTGTAAGCAGAAAAAAGATAAAGTGGTCATTCCAACCAAGAGGATAGGTTACTGTTGCCTCTCTACATGGAATAGCAATTTTTCTTCCCAGAAAAAAAGTCTGTGATGTTAACTTAAAATTATACCTTCATCAGTGGATTTGCTTTCCTGAAATTAGGGACATGGGGCAACAGATCATAGAATGGTTTGGGTTGGAAGGGACCTTTAAAGGTCATCTAGTCCAACCCCCTTGTAATGAGCAGGGACATCTTCAACTAGATCAGGTTGCTCAGAGCCCTGTCCAGCCTGACCTGGAATGTTTCCAGGAATGGGGCATCTACCACCTCTCTGGGAAACCTGTGCCAGTGTTTCACCACCCTCATTGTGAAAACTGTCTTCCTTATATGTAGTCTAAATCTACTCTCTTTTAGTCTAAAACCGTTACTCCTTGTCCTATTGCTACAGGCCCTGCTAAGAAGTCTGTCACCATCTTTCCTGTAGGCTCCCTTCAAGGACTGGAAGGCTGCAGTAAGGTCTCCCCAGAGTCTTCTCTTCTCCAGGCTGAACAACCCCAACCTCTCTCAGCCTGTCCTCAGAGGAGAGGTGTTCCATCCCTCTGAGCATTTCTGTGGCCCTCCTCTGGACCTGCTCTGACAGGTCCATGTCTTTCCTGTGCTGAGGGCTCCAGAGCTGGACACAGGACTCCAGGTGGGGTCTCACCAGAGTGCAGTAGAGGAGCAGAATCACCTCCCTTGACCTGCTGGCCACGCTGCTTTGTATGCAGCCCAGGATACAGTTGGCCTTCTGAGCTGTGAGCACACATTGGCGGCACATGTCTGGCTTTTCACATACCAGTGCCCCCAAGTCGTCAGCAGGGCTGTTCTCGATCCCTTCATCTGTAGCTATGTTTAGTAGTGCTCTTTCCTATTGTCTCTGAAGTAAACTAGCGCTTTTGTTTGCTTGATAGGTGACTGTTGAGAAAAATCTATACGGATTATAGTCTGAAACTGTAGTTGGAGGGAGGTTTTTATGGATGTGAACATTTTCTTAAGTAACCCTTTTTGTTTCCCTTAGACCACTTATTCCTATCCTGGAAAAACTTCTTCGGTTGTGTTAGTGCAGTTGTTGTTGGAGCTGCAAAGTCAACTAGCTTGGGAAATTTAAGAGAAGTCCTTTCTTGGTTTTTTTTTCACCAGGTTATTTTATTTGTGTTCAGTTCTCCAGTGTGGGTCATCATGCAGTACTTGAAGAAATTCTACCAATTTTTGAACACAAACCGTTTCAGAGAGAAAGGAGACACTTCCCCAGAGAAAAATATCAGTTAAATTTTGTTCTTTGTGTATGAGAATAGATCCAGACCACTCCAACTCCAGTTCTTTCTTGTAAATGTAAGTGACTTGCACAGAAATTCCACTGTGATTTATTGAAAAACACATGATTCTTTATTCCACTAGATAGAAGCGTTCTTCATTGCTTAGAAATTGTAGAACCTCTTTCCTTTTGTAGAACAGCACAGCAGCTGGCAAACTCTCCCTTTACTCATGGTTCAGTTCATAGAGTGCACAAACATTTCCACAGATATTACTCCAGAACGATATAGGCTGTTAATTTAAAATTCATACTAGGCTTTACTGAAACACTGCATCAGTGTTATAGTAAATTAGCTCTAGGGCTTGTAATATTGCATATTTTAGTAGCCCCATGATTCAAAACACTGATCTGGTATAAATTTATTCCTTGAAAAATACTGAGGGCGCAGCTTACTACAAGTGAACGTTATGCTGAATCAGGTGTCATCTTGCTTCCTGCAGCTGACACAGCGCCAGAGTAAACTTTCTTTTGTGCTCTGGCTAATGTGGCAAATACACAGTCATTGACCCAGCGTTTATTCTGTTCTGATTAATACACTTGGGTAAGCATATTAATGGTCATCAAACAGTAGCCTGAGAAACTACAAGCTTGGATACTATTATATTGGAATAAGAGTATTTTTTTTCCTGTTTTATTTTAAATCACAGCTTCAGCAGCTCTAGGTAGAGGTAAACCCCAAGAGAGGAGAGATTATTTTTTCTGTGCTGCTTTTGATCATTAAAAAATACAGTGAAGCAGTTTGCTTATGGTATTGAAGCCTGACCTTTATGTATCGCTTTTTTGTTACCTCCTGTAGCAAACTGACACCTGTTTGTAATATGCTAACATCACTCATTATTTCTTTTTCAGCAAGGGGCAGATTCTGACAGGTAACTGATCCTATTCCAACACTGAAAAATATGTTAAAAAATGTGATAGTCTTCTGAGAAGAATGAATTGCTGTAAATCCTGGCATAGCAGATTTGCAGAAGTGAGCTGCAAATGATAGTCAATGACAAACATGGGGAGCATCTTAAAAATAAATTTATTAGAAACAATTGTAGTAATAATGTAGATGTGCAAAATTCATGGACTGAAAACCCAAGGAGAACTGAAAAACTGAACCATGTACCTCATCATGTTGTTACAAATTTCTGGCAAGCTGCTAGTAAACAGCTTTTTGATATCATATGAGAAATGAGAGGTAACATAAAATTTGGTTATGTTTCACTTAAATTAGTAAAACTTCCTCACAGGTTCAAGAAATGAAGCAGGGCAGAACTTGAGTTACAGATCATACAGTCCAATTTCTTGGTGCTGTGTAACATGTCTAAAGCAGATTCTTCTATTTTTTGGCAAAACTTGCATACTTTTATGGCAATAAAATGGTTGAAATTGTCTCGTTTGTCCTTTCATAATGCACCTGACTGCGCTTTCTTCATGTGTGGGCAGAAGAGTAGTTTTGACAGGAATCTGAAGGTCAGAGGATGCTCAGAGTGAGAATCATGTCCATTCTTGCTGTTGAACACTGGAAAATGAGAAAAATGAGTGCAACTCCACCTAGCCCAGTTCTGGATAAAGAAACCAGATTTAGATTTGATTCGATATTAAGTATAATGTAACGATTTTTTTAAAAATGTGAAGTGACACGTTCAAAAGTATCTTAAATGGCAAGGTTTCCCTTGTAAGGTATCTTGCTTTGTATCTAATCAGACTAAAAAGTCAGTAGCAGAATTAACCAGTTGGTACTTTCATTATTTTCCTCCATTACTCACTTATGGACCATGAAGCAGTTTTAAAATCATTAACTATTTTGATTGATATGTGTTGTAATTATAGGAAACCCTTACTAAAGACTGAGTTAGACCATCTAACTACAGTATGGCAAATCTGGCTGTAGGGCACCTGGTACTGGGTCAGAAATGCCACTGCTACATGATGCAAAGTTCTGATCCAACCTAATTGTGTTTTCCTGGTTCAGATTTGCTTTTGACAGGTTAATTTTGTATCAGGTTACATGCTGTCAGGTTACAGAACAGTTATTATTTGCCCAAACCATACAAAGTCAGAGTGAAAATGTAAAGCCAATAAAGAAAAAAGCAGTATCTGCCTACCTCTGATTAAGCATCTACAGGGTTTTGTTTCTTCACAGATGAAGAACAGTATCTATGGAGCCAGAGTCCAAGGTCTCGGCCTCTTCTTACAAGATGCCTTGGTCTCATCCGCTGCAGCCGATACAGCCCCATTTTTGCAAAATGTTCTCTGTGACAGATGCCTGCACCCACACATTGGTGTCACTGCAGTTCTGCATGAGTGCAGGATCTGTCCGTACAAAATAACTCCTCCTACTACGTTTTTGTTTTCTGTGGCACCTATGGTTTGCGCAGTGTATGAAGTGCTGTGTAAAAAGTGTGGGGAAAGAAAAGAGTAACATTAAACTATTTTCAGGAGCAAAATGCTGATGTTAGTTGGCAGTGTGTATTGCCTGTATTCTTTGTTTGCAGTGGATGGAAGGGGAACTTTGTAATGGTAAGCAGATAACTTTCAGTAGGAGAATAGGGCCTCAATTCTGCAAGTATTTACTGTTGATTTAAATGCCACTATTCAAGTCTTTACATTTTACCTGTGTGCATAAACTTTGCTAGGACTTAGCTCTGCAGTTACAATGCAATTTTGAAAGCTATGCTGTGAACAATAATTCTGGTACACTGTTTTTGCTTTTAAACTTCCTAAGTGTCTTAGAACACAACTATGTTTGAAACTCAGTTTAGAAGAACACTTTTATATTTTGCTCAGATCTTTAAAAGATTTATTGGAATCTGAAGATGCTTGCAGTATTCTGGCTTTCCCAGTGTGTCCCAATTTCAGCATGCATATACTGCTGCTATCTGCTTTCTCCTAGGTATACAGAAGAAAAATGTGGTTTTGTTCTCCAAAAGGTACTTTGTCCCCACAATCCCCTTAAGTTGGGCATCCACTATAAATTTACTTGTGTTTAATACCTCATAACAATTGATTTGTTTCATTCTTTTCTGCATAGCCTTTTTTTTATTTCCCTCTCCCTCTTTTGGAGGGAATGTTTGTTGTGGATCATTTTTTTGTGTCTCCTTTCATGACAGTTCTGATCTGTTGCTGTAAGAGCATCCTCTGCTGCAGCATTTGCTACTTGCAACATTCTTACGCGTTTGCTCTGTTTCAGATTTTGTGGACCAGCACATGGTATTTTCGGGATCATTTCCTCTTTTCATTGCTTATTCTTTCTCTTAATGAATTATTTATCTAATGGAATTTTGGTGGCATAAGGTGTATGAAGGCACTTTATGACCACAGCAGTTCTTTGTTGGGCAAAGGGCAAAAACAGGTTGATGGCAGAGTTATATGACTCTGGAAATCACAAATTTCTTTTTCCACAGGGGGAAAATATGGTAACATACAGACAGTTCCTAACAGAAGAAGGAAAACTCTAACTCCTCACAAATGCTTCTTGTCAGAATGAAATTCCAACAGCTGCTGTCCAGGAAACCGGGGAAACTGGGAATGCTTTTTCAAATACCTTTTTGCCAAAAGCAGTTCCCATATATGTGTCTGGCTACCTCCGCATGTCTTTATAGTAAGAAGAAAAAAGCGAACAGTTATGAACAAGTTGACCAAGAAAAATACAAGAGCTTGGTCTACTCTGTTACATCTTACAAAACCAGCACCCAAACACCAGAGACAATATTTGAAGAAGACAATTTGTTATATGGGCCACCGGATAAACATAGACCTCCAATTAAAGCTGAAACAAAAACTCCCAAGAACTGGATTCCTTTAATAAACCCCAACAAGAGAATACCCCTTCTCAACAGTGATTCAAACCTCCCCATGAAAATCGCTTTACAAAAAACGAAAATGCCCAGTGTTACCCGTATTCTTCAGCAGACTATTTCTCCGCAGCAAACCTTTTATTTAGAAAGATGGAAGCAGAAAATGATACTGGAACTTGGAAAAGATGGTTTTGCAGAGTATACTAAAAGTAAGTCTAACCACAGTGTGATTACAAAGTAGAAGCAATAGTCTGGATAGCTGGCTGGGATGTGCTAGCATGGCTGCAGTATCTGGCCCCACAAGTGATTTGGAAATCCATTAAGTTCTTTCCATTTCAAGGGGTGAAACCATATTATGAGCACATCTGTTATCAATGAATCTAAGCTCTGATCTTTGTTCTAGGACCACTAAAATGGATTCAGAAATGTGTGGGAAATGAGAATTAGACTGTAGACATTCTTTGCTCTATCCTATCTGCCTCTCCTTTATTTCTCTGTTTGCTAATATCTATTTACAAATAGATATTTTCCTTTCCTCATGTTATTGAGCCTGTTTGCAGATACAAAGTGAGATGGAAATAAGCATTCTGAAATCTTGCCCTCTTGAGTGTTTAAAAACCTATGTGTCTTGCTGCTTATGTTGAAGTTCTTCAGTAACTATTTAGTTTATCCAGTATATATAGCCTCTTCTATGAAATTGCCATACATTTAGAGGTTTTTATTTTGTAAGACATACAAAGGTGACTTCCTCCAAGCTGTAGGACTGAAGGGGATCTGGCAGGACCTGGGGGGTAGTAGGTACCCTCTTGTAGCAAGGTTAATAAATACCCGAGCGCTCCTTGCATGAATTATTATGCTTTTTAAAACTGAATATGCTATGTTTATGCCTTTTGAGTTACTAAGCATGTCAGTGAATAAGGTGGCATAACAAACCTTACATAACTATTTAAAATTCTTCTTTCTTGTAATCATTTCTGAAACGAGCCCTTACTGCTAGAACTATGCCCACCCATTTCAGGAGGAGATTAAGTTCCCTTCAAATGAACGAATACAGCAGAAGAAGCAAACACAGCAAAAGCAGCCTAGAATAACATTTTTAATTCATAGAAATTCACAAATGCCTTTGAATAAACAATAAATTTAAAAGTCATATTTTGTTGCTGAGTAGTTGATGAGACCAAAAAAGTAAAGCAAGCATTAATGTAAGAGATACTAATTTCACTGTTGACAATTTATTTTTCTGCCTCATTCCCTTCTCCTGCCCACATCCTCAAGCTTTCAGTACAAAAAACAGGACTGGTTTAAGAGCTATGTTGTGTAATATCTAGAATACAAGTCCATCGGGTATTATGAATAGTGTCTAAAACGTGAGGGGTTTTTTTCACATTTTTCTTAGATCTTTTCCTCCAAGGAGAGCTCTTTCATGCAGCTTTGGAATCTATATTCCTGTCTGAAGAGATGGCAACTAAGGAGCAGAGAGAAGATGTTGCTATTTCTGGCTACTTATCAAGTGTGCAACATGTCTTAAAAGATATCAGCGAAGTGAAAGCTCTGGAAAGTGCAGTTCAGCATGAGACTCTTCAGTATCTGGGCCTGGTAGACTGCGTGGCTAAGTATCGGTGAGGTACCGGTTCTCTAAGAAACCTGATAATGCCAGTGTTACATGGTGCTCCGTGGCGCGTGGGAGGCTGTGTCCCAAGCTGGAGCAGGTGTGGTGGTGAGCTCTTGGGGGGAAGCTGGACTGATCTCTAAGAGCAGCGAAATGGATGAACTCTTCTGGATGAACCTGGTGACAGAAGTGCTGTTGTTTTGTGGAGAATTGCTTCCTGGAGCAGGATATGAGTGGGGCAAGGTCAAGTGCTCCTCAGCAGTTGCCAGGAACTGCAGCAAATAGTAGGAATCTTGATTTTTGAGATCTAAACTACCAGTGTGGAAGAGACTTACTTAGACATAATAATGAGCAACATGACATCAGGGTGAAACAGGCTGAGAGTGATATGACTTTCTTTGCTCTCCCATCCCTTGTTCCTTACTGTGACTAAACTTGCGTTTAAAATGTTGTCCTATCTTGTTTTCTTATGCAGAGGCCAGTTGTGTGTGATTGACTGGAAAACTTCAGAGAAACCAAAGCCATCTCTGAAGAATACTTTTGACAACCCATTACAGGTTGCAGCGTATATTGGAGCCATAAATCATGATGCCAATTATGACTTCCAGGTCAGTAGGCCTGCTGCCTGCCAAGACAAGCAGCAGTGCCCGCATTATTTTCATTTCTCCCCACCTACTGCCTTTAGCACCTGCTGTCCATCATGGAACATGGTAGGATTTGTAACAAAGCAGCCCAGTCTTCGATCAGGCTAAGCTGACATACTGTGAAATAACTCCACTACTCTTGCTAATCCTGCTGCCTTTGCCTGTCAGCAGTATATTTTCATTGGTTTTAAGGAACTGCTTGGTGGGACCCAGGGACAGTCAGCATCTTAGGTGGTCAGGGGAACTCACAGTGACTTGGCATCTGGGCAGCCCCATACTTTGTTCTGTGTGGCTTTTGCTTGTGTTGAGAGTGGGAAGGGGGAGTAAAGGAAATAAAGCAAAAGAGCCTGCAAAAAGGGAAGTGCGGTGGGAGGGCATTGCTCACATCATGTGTTGCTATATCCCACTAGCAAATGAGGGATTAAGTGATTTACTTAAAGTGTTTGGAAGTTGAACAGTGTTTCCTCAGAGGAAAGTAGGTGTTGTCAATCACTTAGTCAGAAGACGGTGGAATGAAGTTTTTAAAGACTCCAAATGCAATTCTAGCCAGGCCTGCTTGCCCTGAAGGATTGTTACTACAATACAAAGTATCGAAGGGGGAAAATATAAAGCAGAAGAGAGCAGGGTAATTCATTGGTTCTTCAGAGGACTTTCTAGAATGTTATAAAGATCAGTAAACACAGACACTTAACAGACATGGTCCTTACGGAGTGAAATACAGGCAGTAATTCTAGAATTCTGCTATTAGCTTCCTGCCCCCCACCACTTTCTCTTTACCCCAGTAGCTGTGTGGGGTTTGGATTAGAGCTGTTTGTCAACTATGAAAGATGAGAACACACCTAAGTAACCATTTCCATTCAGACTGACGCTGGAGAATGGCATCAGTCTGGTTATATGACCCCAGGCAAAACCTCATCAGTCACTGGGAATTTTACCAGCATCTGCATGATTGAAATAGACCCTATCCCTCTGCTACTCAGAGTCTGAGTCCTCCAGTTTTCACTAAAGTCAGTCAGAGCTTTGAACTCTCAGCATTTGAATGTTAGTCTCCAACTATTTTGTGGTAAATTATTGCTCCTTTTGTTCCACATTTCTTAAGGTACTTAGATGTTAAGGATGATGTTTTGCAGTGAGGTTTAATGTTCAGAATATGCTGATTGAAGTTGCATATTAACATTGAATTTCTGACATCCTTCTGTTTTTTTTGACTGCAGGTTAGCTGTGGACTCATTGTGGTTGCCTATAAGAATGGCTCTCCTGCACATCCACATTTCATGGATCCCGATCTGTGCTCGCAGTACTGGAGTAAGTGGCTTTTGCGCCTTGAAGAGTACACGGACAGAAACTGACCCACACTAAGCTATCCGGAGGCAAGTGGTCTGAGCGCAGCCAAAACAAGAATCCTTGATTTAAATACTCCATTTGAGTACATATTCTTTTTTTAGTAACTTTGGCTAATTTCTTAATATCGAGGTTCCCCCCCCCCTCAAAAAAAGAAGGAAAAATTGGAGTGAGGAATCTGTATTTGCTTACATTGTAGGCGACTTAAGTGGAGGACCTGGCAGTACAAAGCCAACTTAATCTCTGGTTTTCCCCACAGAGTTAATACAACCTGATGTTGATAGCAAAGTTTCTATTATCAAGTAAAACTGTTCAATCAAATCATCTTTCTTTTGTCATTTTTGAGAAAAAAAACGTTGCAGAACTGAGACTTCGAAAATGGAGTTGTGAACTAAAGCAAAACGACATCTGCATTGTCTGAGCTGAGAGAAATGCAAACGATAAACAAATGAATATAGTAGGCTGGGTTTCAGTCAGCTTAGTTCTTGCTCATCTCAAAGGTATCAATTAACAGGCTTGTTACTATTTGTGGTTTTTCTTACAGCAACAACTGGAAAAACTGCACTAAGAATTATAACACAAGTTCTCATAAGCACTTAATTTAACATACGAAGGCAAAATGATCATTTAACAGAAGTGGCTTAGTAAAAGAGGAGCAGAATTGTAACTGATGCATTTAGAAATGTCCAGCGAGTGTTCTGCAAGGGAAGAAGTTTGACTACTTCTAGTGGCTCCTCCTGCAGGTTTCTTAACATGCTGTGTGGCCCACATGAAAGACCTGTGAAAGTGTAAATGGGCTTTGTACCTTAGGTTGGGAGGCTCTGTGCAGGCCAAGCCTACAACTGTCTTGAGCTCTCCTGACTTCTCTTTGGGTCTGAGCCGACAAGGAGCTTACCCATGTGGAATGATCTCCAGTGTCACATTATAGCGTTTGCCAGTGTGAGTAAGTTCCTTTGTAAAAAGCAGGCTTGTGACTTTGGAGCCAGGCCTTCTGAGGAATGAAGACCTGTTGATTGGGTTTTAGGGGGGGGTTGGTTTTTTGTGGTTTTTTTTTCTTTTCAAATAAGTTTGTGAATAAATGTTCTAAAACAGAAGTTACTTTTGAAGCTTGTTTCATAAAATCAAGTCTATAAGACACAGATTAAGCCTTAATGATGTCAGGCAGTATTGCTTTATGTTGCGCAGCTGGAAAGCTTTTTTCCTCATTCTCTTGCTTTTCTCTGAATTAAATGTATCAGTTTTTGTAATACCACTTCAGATTACAAATAAAAATACAACCATGCCATAAGCTTCAAGAAAATCAGCCAGAACCATACCTAAAAAAACCAATGGGCAGGCTTGCTGCTGAAGAAACTTAAACCTCTGTAGTACTTAATCTTCTGTTCCTCCAGAGTACTGAACTCTGTAAACCTGTGCGATGAAACTTAGCTATAGTGGTACTTGCTTATTCAAACCTGGTCTGGTGATGGTATGATTAGTCTGTGCTTAATTAGATTTCTATCTAAGAAGACAAACATGGAGACTGAGAAACTGGGTTCAGAGATGACTAACCACAACGACACTGCATGAGCACTCGGAAGTTCTACCTGTTTTACAAGTATGTTCCCACATCACAGAATTTTAGTAAGTGGGTGGTTCAACGCCACTGAACATGGTCAATTTTCTGTGAAAGATAGCTCTATGGATCCAAAGAGGGTGGGCAAAAACAAGAGGTAAGATGCCCTGGGCAGAAGCAGGAGGTGATAAAACATGCTGAATTCCCTGTGGTGATTGCAAGTAGGGAACAGTTGGGCAATGTTTGAGTGGGATTGCCACCTTCACCAGTGCATCATACAACCATTAGATGACTCTGAACCATGCAAGATTTCAGCCTCATCCTGCCTCCTGTGGAGCCTGGGCAGCGCAGGCACCTGTTGGCTTCACCTGTGTTCATTTGTTTAACAAAAGGCTTGTGTCTGAGGAAGGCTGCCAGCTTCACTAGCTGTGTCAGTTTGTAAACGGACTTTAAGTCTGGGATGAGCCTGTGCCATCAAGAAGATAGGAGAAGGCAGGCAGCCTTCAAAGGCAGTAGTGGTGGAAGTTACTGTGTCTAGCACTTCTGAAAGTCTGGCTGCCTCCAGCATCCCCATGTGAGCTCTGGAACATTTCTGTAGAGGCAGAAGCTAGTGTCCGTTTTGTCCCATAACGGAAGTGGCAGATGGCTGTTGCAAACCCAAGCCCACTTTGTGACCCGTTTAAACTAACTTGCCAGACTTTTAAATTGACATGCCCAAGGCTTCTGCAGAAAAACCAGCCAGACAATCGGGGCAGTTACTCCAGCTAGTGCATCCAGCTTTGTCAGAGCTTTGTGCTCTGTCCAGAGTGGTTTCTCTTGTGTGCTGTTACCTGCTGCTTTTCTCTGTGTCTTGCTTTGAGATCACACAGACAGACCACCTTAATGTGCCTGTAGTTCCTTCGCCGGGGACGTGCCTTGGCAGTGATATTGAAGGGGACTACAGGAGGGGGAAAAAAACCATGCGCACGCACATGCACACACACAAGATGTGTCTCCAGCTAGGGAGGGCTTCAGCCACACCTCCTCTGTTCCAGCGTAAGGGCTTAGGCTTCAGCAGAGCAAAGCACGCGAATTCTTTGCGGTTAGGTGAACAGTAGTCACTTTGCTCAGATGGACTCTGCTCAACAGTCCCACCTAGGAGCTGAACTCAACAAAACTTCATGACTGAGACTTCACTGTGTGGGTTGCAGGGGAGTATCACCAGCACAGTTGGCTGAACCAGCTGTTAACACTTTTCTTAGCCAGGCAATTTTGTCAAGGTATTTGCAAGCACACAAGCTTCGCTGAGAGTGAGCAACCTTGCAGTCAGTTATAATGGCATGATCTCAGAAGAAGTGGGGATGAGTGCATAAACTTTAGCTCTTTTTACAAAGTAAGGATCTTCTAATTTACCTCAGATGCTTTTTTTTCCCTATGGACTTCCCATTTATTTAAGTATCCTGCAAACTTTCCCATTACATAGGATGACAAGTTTGTTCTTTCCACAGTAGCATCACTTTATTGTCCTCGTTTTCAAGGTCCCAAGCACTGATAATTGTGCTGAATAAAGTATTAATATCATTAGAAATGCTTTAAAACCCCTAGAAGCTTTTCCCCCAAAAAACCCAAGCAGAAGGTTGTACAAAACAGGCAAATTGAGAATATTTTTGTGATTCTTGCAGAGACGCTCAGAATCTATAATTTTAGTAGTAATTACTATGAAGGTCCTGGCTATGACTATTTTAGGTTGGTTATTTTTCAGCTGTTGTTTCAACGTATATAGAATACAGCGTATCCTCCCCAAATGCACAGCTTTATTTTGAGCACAGAATGAATTTGGGGTAATTTACAAATGAAATCCATTCATTATTATGCATTTAAGTTGATGTAAAACCCGTTTAGCACCTGTGTCCATTAAGGCAAGAGACAGACGAATAACCTGCGCTTGGACCAGAGTACCTTGTGGTTGCTGAAGAGGTCACCACCCTGCCCTGTCACTCCTAGTATAGACACCCAAGTGCCCAGTAAGGGCTGCAGCAGCTTCTGAAGTGTCTTGAAGTGTCAGGTGGTTTCAGAGACATGAGTTATATAGGGATTTAAAAAAAGAGGAGAGGGGTGTCTAAATTCACACTTGATGGTGGCTACAGGCTACCCTTTTGGTTGTGCTGGGTCAACAGGAGCTGGAGCAGGACTCTAGGGGAAGTCCAAAAGCACAGAGATGTAGTACTAGTCCCTCATCATCATGGCCACCTCCTTCCCTTGTAGCATCAGTCTCACCAGGAGCCTTCTAAACTGGCAGTGGTTACTTCACTGCGTTGTACTGCTGTGTTGTATTAGTGAACAGGCACTTGATCATTACAAAGAAAAAAAAATAGTCCCAAAATGCTCTCACACACACACACACCATAAAATACACAAAAAATTGCATTTCATTGTGACAGAAAATACATATCTTCTGTTGTTTTTAATGTGTTTTCTTTGGGTTTCTGGGTTGATATTGACGTATGTTAAATGGATGTGGTAAGAATCCCCAAAGTGAGCATGACAAGTCCAGGAATGACAGAGTTAAGGTTACACTTAAATCTAAACATGATAAAATAAGTTCACAGCTTAAAGGACCTAAAACATGACCCTAAATCTGCCCTGGAATAATGCCATTCACTAGTAGAGAAAGTTTGGGAGGAAAAAGTTCTGCATCCTTTAAAAAAAAATTTCAGCTCACCTTGGATGATGCTTCCATAAATCATTAGTTCCCTGTACCAGGGGGCAGAGTTAAGGTTACTTGTACATCTTAACTTATTTATCGATACAGTGTACTCCTGTTCTTTAGACCATTTTAATTCATTTTTATAAAACAATGTGCTAGTAGCTGCTCTTATATGGCACTTTTCACCCAAACCTCTCAAAGGTAAGTTACCTCCCATAAAAATTATTATCTTTACAAAATATGCTGGAGAAAGGTGAACTTATTTGTCAGTGGCCACTTGAATGTGTGGTAGGAGTTGAAGTAGAAAACAGGTTGCCTGAAGGTCAGTTCAGTAAATACTCCATCCAAGAGATGACAGCCTCTTCCAAGCTTTCCTTTGGGTTTTTTTGGCCCGATAAAAATTCTGGATGTTTGCATTGTATAGGGGGATATTTCTTTCAAGTTGAGGTTCTACCAATATCAAGAGAGTCCCATTAACAAAAGCATCCCTTTTATTTCAGGGGTTTCTTTCAAAATTGTTTTTAAAAAAATAGTATCTATATAGTCCTACATGTAAACTTTATTCCTTTAGACCACTGTAATCCACCGTGTTACTCATCTTTGTCATCATCTTTGGAGTTCCTCTGCAGGACAGGGCTCAGTTTGTTTTGCAAAACCGCTGCAAGTTTTTTTGAGGTTTTTTTCAGGAAAGCGCTTCCGGGGTGAATGTTACTAACATGCAGGTACAGGTCCTCCTGCGTGGGGCCCGTGTAGCCGCAGTCTTCACACACATAAAGTTTATCTCGCCT